GGGAGCCCAGGAGATAGGGGGGCACGCCCTATAGGGGGGGTGCGCCACCCTGTCTCCTGGACAGGGTGTGGGCCCCCTGTCCTATTTCTTTTGCTCATAATTCCTTAATAAATCCAAAAAGTGTTTTCGTGGAGTTTCAGGAATTTTGGAGTTGTGCAGAATAGGTTTCCAACGTTTGCTCCTTTTTCAGCTAGAATTCCAGCTGCCGACATTCCCCCTCTTCATGGTGAACCTTGTAAAATAAGAGAGAAGACCCATAAGTATTGAGATATAATGTGTAATAACAGCCCATAATGCAATAAATATTGATATAAAAGCATGAAGCAAAATGGACGTATCACTGAGTGGCCTATGTTTTGCCGGAATGTTGATTCATTTCTGTTCCGGCAAATTTCAGGTTCTCGATTTGTCCACTTTTTAGCAAAGGTCATGCCGAAATTTTTCGTGAATTTCGGCATGACTTGTGCTACAAACTAGGACATACCGAGTGCCCGAGATTTGCCGCACCAGGAAGGAGTCAACGTTCCTGCAAACAATAGGCCTTTTTTATGTCATTATTCATTTTATTAGGTCTAGAATTAATTGACTAGATTTAATCATAGGAAACATGGCTAGCAACAATGAAGGATAGGGTTCTGTTGATTGCGACGACGTCTACCGGGCGGCAGACGAATTTTTAACGATCAACCGATGTTGTTGCTAGGCCCACCAGTGGTATCGGGGACTGAGACCGACATGCAGACCGGTGCTGAGACTGAGACCGGCGCCGATACTCAGACCGACATCGAGACCGGCGCTGAGACTAAGACCGGCGCTGCCTCGGGGAGCGGAGCCGGTGTAGAACCGAAAGCAAAGAGGCAACGACTTCCTAACAAACTCAGGACTACTCGACTGGTGGTCATGGAGGTGGACGACAACAATTTTGAGCCAAAGGCGCCCGAGGAAGCGCGCAAGTGCTACGACAATCAAATTGGCTGCATCATACGGACAACCGCCACCATCAACGATGAGAAACTACAGAAGATAGATAATATGAGGCCCTCCCTCCTAAAGAAGTTTCACCAGATATTCTTGTTCCCGGGCCGGAATGAAAAGGATTATGAAGATCCAGATAAGGACCCGGCAAAGAAGAAGATAAACAAACACACCATGACCAAGTTTAGCGACGCGTTGGCCGCCTGGAAAACAAGGGTGAAAGCAAGGATCATCGACAATGAACCCTACTCCGAGATTGTAAAGGATAATCTGACAATCACGGTAGAGCCGTTTCTAATATTCAAGGAGGCTTGCGAGGCCGAAGCTGCCAAAAAAAGTCTAAGTACATGAAGGGGCTTCATGAGAGGAACATTGGGAGCCAGCACCTCGGAAGCCGTGGTTATGGAGGAAAGAGGTCCAAATGGGCCAAGGAGGACACGGAAGCCGCGAGTCTGGGCATCCCAGACCCCTTGGCGGAGTTCACCGTCCCGCAGGAGCGTGACGTCCTCAGGGCCCGGCACTGTTGGGAACCAGTGAAGAAGGTTTACGAGACAAACCCGGTCACGACGGAGTTCATGAGACTGCTGGTAATTTTAGTTTCTGATCAATTCGACTGCACATGTTAGTCATATTTGTCAACGATCCTTGTGCCTTTTGCAGAGAGAGAGAGCGTCACATGATTGCGGTCGAAAGCGACTCGCCGTCTGAGGCATTGGCGAGGCCCAAGTGGGACACTCCATTCAATCGGGCGCTGAACGTATTGAAGCGACTCCCGGTGGATACTCGACCGTCGTATGGACGCGTGCACGGTGTCGGAGACGGCGCCACGTGGAAGAAGTACTACCGTGAGACCATAGAGGAGAGAAAGAAAGACGGAGGTTAACTGGACAAAACATCGACAAGAAGGTTGAGATTGCGGTTGAGAAGAAATCATCTCAGACAGTCACAACAGCGGTAGCTGCCGCAAAACAGGTGGTTGCAGATATATCTACTTCCTTGGTTTCGACCTGTTTCACTTGGACCAAGCAAAATCCAGAAAAAATTGCAGCGGACTTTCCCCTTGCTGACTTCTTGGGGAGCAGCTCGACTAGCGTTGCACCAGCACCAACTCCCGCACCGGCTCCGGCACCGGACGCGCTCGGCGGTGCTTCATCTTTGGCTGAGCTCGACGCCCTCACGGTATCTGTCACACCGGTCCCCTTCAATAAATGTATAATCTCCCATTTTCGTTGCCTTTCGGATGTCTCACGTCGCAGACTTTTCTTTGCAAGTCGACGAAATCCCGTGCACCATATTGTACACCATCAGCGACTAGAAGGTGGACGTGGGGAAGGTGACGATAATGGAGCCGAAGGAACCATTGTTCCACAGCCGGCCGATCCCCCCGAACGCCTTCAAGGTTTCCGTGGCCAGTGTCAAACCGGGTCATGCGAATTTGCCTCCTCTGATACTAGTGAGGGATGATGAGAGACCCCGTGGTGGCTTCATGATTGTTGCAATGGGTGGGTCCTGTTGTAGCCAAAGAGTCTGCTTCGTCTGGAGTCGGCCGGGAGCACACCCACGAGTACGCAGCCTCAGCAAGGTATGAACATCAACACCCCACCTACCCAATTAGCGTCGGGTGTCGGGTTGGGTGATAGCGGACGGGGTAAGGAGGAGGCTCCATTAGTCGCTGATGACATCGCCATGGATGAGGATGAGGATGACGATGGCACTCAACAGTATGTCTATACTGGCGCCTACTCAGGGATTGAGCATCATGAGTCGGTGCCTGAATTGCCGTCTCCGGAGGCTCAACATATTATGGACGACCTTTCAGTAGTAAAGATGTCTGGGAAGAGAGCGAGGAAAGGCAAAAAAGCTGATTCTATGATCCAGCCGCCTCAGCAGCCTCAGCTTCAGGTCCGTATAGATATCCCCGATGCAGATAAATGGCATATCCCCGGTCAACCAATCCTACCTGCAACAGCGCTACGGGCTAGATTCGGCGCTCTAAGGAGACTGCATGACGATGTGCTGCGGATAGATAAAGGCCTCATCGACTCGAAAGATCCAGGATACCCACCCTACGTGGTTAACGTTCCGCGGAAAATGTCGTATGTTGACTGCTTCCCCGCGGATAAGTTCTTCCTTCGATTCGATTACATATTCAACATGTTTCACATGAAGAAGCTGGATTTTACGTTTGTCCGCCTTTATGCCTTGCACATGAACTACATCATTGGGGTTGAGTAGATACGTCATATCTGTGTCGCTAACCCGTACTACATGCACGAGGGCTTCTTGGGAGTCTGCGCAAAGCACCATGAATACGCGAGGGATTACATCGTCGGTTTCATGCTCGCCAATAAGGACAAGGAGGCGATTCTCGTGCCTTATCATCCCGTGTAAGTCATCCGCACTGCTATCCTTCCTTCGATTTCAATCATTCATTTGCACGGTGGAGGCTAATTAATTTGAGGTGTACTTATTTTGCGCAGCGGCGGGCGCGCCGTCCTCATCATCCTCTACCCCCGATTCTCCCACGCTCTTTACTTGGACTCATCGAAGAACATTCACAAAAAGGATTACACCCACATCAAGGGTGTTCTCGACAGTGCTATGTTTTACTACCAAGCACGGGGTGGAGAGGTCAAGGACAAGAAGAGAAGGGGAGGCAGGCTCGCCTTCAGCCATAAGACCGACTTCTGCTGCATCCAGCAACCGAGTGATTCTCTTAATGATGGATTCTATGTCCTACACCATATGCTGGAGTACAGATGGGATCACCAGAACCTTCACATGTCACCTAGATTTGGCGATGCCCATATTTTGCAATGGGCAAAGGACATAGGAGATATCGAGGATCATCGACTTCGAGCTGAGTTCTATAACATCCAACGCGAACTTGCCCAAATAATCATGAAGGAGGTCGTCAGAAAAACAGGGATGTTCTATGGAGAAGGACAAATGTCGCGGGAAGACGTTCGAACATGGGTAGCCCCTCAGCGCCTCGACATGAAGCCTTTCACTAAGCTCGGGGACTATCTCCCTGACATGGATGGATGACACAACATGCTGGAGTGATTGTCGATATATGACAATGTGTCCGTTTAGTCCATACTTTCTGTATGACAAAACTTTGAGTTATGCATGGCGAAACTTTATTTGTGATGTAATTAAACCGTCCTCCTCCACGAGTAGCGAAGATCACTCTAGTTAGGGCATTTTGGGTACGATGAACTTTGTTATTTATGCTTATGATATGTTGTTTCTATTTTTGCCAAGTCTGTCTCTTTCCGTTGCTCAACTATATATGTTGCATATCATCGACTCATGTGACGATGCAGGTGCATAGATCATCGATGGCGAAGAAGTGCTATGCCAGGAGTATATATACGTCGAGTGGCCAGAGTGTCAGGCCCAGGTGTACCGGTTTCCGGTTTCTGAGCGACATGCAATAGTTAGTTTAGGTTCACACTAATGCGAGAGAGGGATACGAACTCATGTACTGCAGAGTTCCGCTCTCACTCAAAGTGATAGCTCTTCTCGCGTATATCATTGTTTAGATGGATGACGATGTATTTGCAAGTAATCGAGACTTGTATCGCTATTTTCGAGATGATGACGAGAGACCACTTTGTGTTGGATGATGATTATGATGATGACATGATTTGATGAGACTAGTTGTATGTATATGCTATGATTACATTTGTATGTGTATGATATGCTAAAGATTATTGTATAAAGACTATTCAAATACAAAACAAATATGCAGAAAAAATAATAATAAAACTAGTAGTAGCGAGGGGAAAAAAGTTAGCAGTAGCGCCTCCTTAGCAGTAGCGCTTCCCTGTAAAAAGCGCTGCAGATAATATCAGCAGTGCTCTTCTCTGAAGCGCGCTACATCTATCCATGTATAGCGGTAGCGTGGGACGACAGGCGCTACTTCTATACGTTAGCAGTAGCGCCTTATCAGTAGCGCATCGTCCCGCGCTACTGATAGGCCTAAAACCCGCGCTGCTGCTAGGCTTTTCCCTAGTAGTGTCAAGAGAGATTATATACAGGAGAAATCATATATATGGTGAATCTTGATTTATCCTGTAATAGTCTTATGGGAGAGATCACTGAAGAAATCAGCGCTCTTGTAGCATTGAAGAGCATGAACTTATCATGGAACAACTTCAATGGAAAAATCCCTGAGAATATTGGCGCCTTAATGCAGGTGGAGTCACTTGACCTATCACACAATGATTTGTCCGGTGAAATCCCTTCAAGCTTATCGACTCTCACATCATTGAGTCACCTGAACCTGTCCTACTACAACCCGAGGGGGAAAATACCTACTGGAAATCAACTGCAAACACTCGAAGACCCGGCCTATATTTATATTGGCAACCCCGGCCTCTACGGTCCTCCTCTCTCTGTAAATTGTTCGTCACAGCCCAAGCCAATTCCAGGAGAAAACCACGGAGATGCAAGCGAAGACTTGGTTTCGTTTTTCCTTGCCATGGGCCCTGGATATGTGATGGGTCTCTGGGTGGTCTTCTGTACCTTCTTGTTCAAGAGAAGATGGAGAGTTTCGTGGTACTCGCTCTGTGACAGACTGTATGATTGGGTGTATGTGCAAGTGGCTGTTACCTGGAGTTCCTTGAGAGGTAAAATCAATGGGTAGAAGCTGAGATGAGATGACCATCACTGGTTCTTGGTTTGCTCTCATGTAATTCAATAAATGCTTTTGAGATTTATCATGAACATATCAATATCGATGTTCAGGTATTGTACTAGAACTAGTCAGGATATGTATTCAAGGTGCATTCCATCGACTGAGATTGTTATGCCATTTTTTGTATTGTAGTAGAACCAGCACTTGTGGTTCTTGGTTTGCTCTAGACATGTATTTTGATATAATCTGGAGATTTATCATGAATGTATCAATTGATATTCCAGTGTATCGTACTGGAACAAGTCAGACACATGTATGTATTCTAGGTGTATTGTATTGGAACTAAACATGCACATGTATGAATTCTAGGGGCATGCCATTAACTGAGGTTTTATACATGATGTGTTTTCTATGTGCTTTCTGTTGATGGTGCTTTATTTTTATAGTAACTGACGGTCCTCTTCTATGTGCTTTTACCCTATGGTAAATACTGATTTAGTCATTTGCCCGGGCAAAACTCAAATGGCAAAGATAAGGAGGATGAAACCGGTAATGGCAAGGATGATGATAACATGGCAGGCGATGAAGCTGATTCTGATTTTGTTCTGCCCTGGAAGATGTTTGATTCTGCAAGAGCAATAGTTGAGAAGAACCTAGGCAGTAATATGGAGAGAAAGTTAAAATCCTTTTGTGGTCTGGCTTAGTTAAAGTCCTTTTGTGGTCTGGCTTAGGTCTCCATGGAAAGAGGTGGTCTCTGTTTTGTTTGTTTCTCCTGCATATAAACCATCAGATGTTTTTTATAATCGTGTCCCCATATCCCATTTACAGATGACATAGACTGTTCGCTTCATTACTAGTTCAAAGCTTCAGCTCTCTTGGATTATTTGGTTGAGCCTGACCATTGTCAAATTGTCGAACCGTATCCCCCCTTTGGTAATGATCGTGCTAGTTGTGTGCCTCTGCTTTATAGTACTAGTATAAAGCAGCATATTTGCTACCCAAGTGCCGTTGTGCATCCTTCCGTGCGTGTGTTTGTTGGGTTTTGGGAGTAAATTTTGTCCAGGTAATATGAAGATCTAAGTGTCTAGAGGTGTCATGTTTATTTTGTTACACATGTAGGATCTCAGTTAACTTAAGTTGAGCCACATCTGGCACATGTTCCTTCACTTGTGTAAATGCACATCTCATTGCATATGTACAGGGAAAATGTGAGTTCAGATAATGCTTGTATCTTGCAGATATTCACTTTTGTTAATTTCCTTAATTCAGTGCTAGAAATAATTTCTTTAATTTAGTCCTAGAACCTTCTGCATATTGTGTGAGTTGGGGTCGACGAAACCGAACAAAGCAATCAACAAGAGGTGAAATGAGAAGCAGCCACTGGAGGAACGATAAAGCGAAAACATGTTCAGGTTTACTTTTAATATGTTTGTTTTGAAATTGCTAGCGTATGCTCACACAGATAATCACAATGGTCAATTCTGATCATTCGTGCACTAATGAGCCTGGGGTGGAACCATGGTCAATGCTGGCTTGTTTAGAACGGCTCCGCTTTCGCTTGTTGAGGCGAGTCTAACATCCAGAGTCAGATAGGCCTCATATGAAGTCCAGTCGGTACACAGGGAAGGAATGGATCACATACTTAGGCAGGAACCACTTGTAAGAGTTGTGTGGTGTGCTTTAATTTGGCTCTAGTTCTGTCTAGAGAGGCATCCAGTGGATCACCTGAAAAGTTGAACTCTGAAAGGGGCAAACCTCTTTCTTCTTCTCCAAGTTGCAATCCGGATTTGAGTGGCTAACTTTGGCTAGAGGAAGGAAAATCTTGTGATGTTCTTGAGAGATACTACAAGTAGGATCGTAACAATTGGTACTCAGAGCTTTGACCCTTCCCTCTTTGCTTCATACGCGTGGAAAATCTCTGATCAATTGCTTGATCCCTAAAATCCCTTCATGTCTGTGTGAAAACAATGTATATCTAACACCATATGATTCAAAGATTGAAACAATATGTATGTGAACTATGCTATGGCTGTGTCTTTTGATCAGATTATGGGCATTGATGGTTGAAATAGGAATAAAACAATATATATCTAACAATGTATCATTCATGGCAATGGTATAGTCAATGAACTGGAAAATAATGCATTACATTATACATTCGCCAAGTATGAGTAGTTCTATGAAGTTATTTTCTCCCTCTAGAAGCTACTATTTTATCAATCTTATTGCTACAGTAACACTAAAAATGCAATAAGACTTTTCTTCTCATGTTTATCTTTCGTTAGGGGAATACACAGTTATTACTTGAAGGTAAGCAATGTAAAGCTTGAATGTTCCATCCTTAAATATGTTTAGAGTTTTTTGTAAAGGCATGTTATTGTGCACGTGCGAAAAATTGATATTGTGGTGTCCAATTCTGAATAATTGTGTCATGAGATTATCGACGGGCGGAAAATTTATGAGGTCAGTGGTGGTAATCTTGGATAATAAAAATCAAAGATCAGATTTATGCAAAAAAAATCTATGGTAAAGAAGCATTCATTTGCCCAACTACTTTTGTATGACAACGGCTAACTGAGTATATTTGAATTTAGCTCATGTTGACATATGGACTATTTTTGGACTTGTATTGTCTTTGACTTATGGGTTATTTAATGCATCTAATGCAACTTCCTGCTACTTGTGAGTTGCGTTGGGATTTTTCCTGAAAAGAAGAGGAGATGCAGTACTGTAGAGATAAGTATTTCCCTCAGTGAGAACCAAGGTTTATCGAACCAATAGGAGAATCACGCAAAGCATCATGAACAACACCTACATGCACAAAAGAAAATATTTGCACCCAGCGCGGGCAAGAGGGTTGTCAATCCCCTTGAAATCATTACTTGCAAGGATTAAATTTTGTGTAGATAGATAGATAAATTGCAAAGTATTTTTGGATTTTATGATATGATAAAACTATACCCGGGAGCCATAATTTTCACTAGAGGCTTCTCTCTCGAACAGATAGCATACAATGGGTGAATAAATTACTGTTGGACAATTGATAGAAAAGTGCATAATTATGACGTATTCATGACAATGATCATGTATATAGGCATCATGTCCAAGACAAATAGACCGACTCCTGCCTGCATCTTCTACTATTACTCCACCAATCGACCGCTATGTAGCATTCATCTATGTTATTAAGTTCATGACATGATATAGACAAAGTAAACCAAATCAATATGAATAAACCCCACCGTGTTACCCTTAATGGCAACAATACAAGTACGTGTCTTGTCCCCTACTTTGTCACTTGGTTATAGAGCACCGCAAGATTGAACCCATTACAAAGCACCTCTCCCACTGAAGATAAATCAATCTAGTTGGCCAAACCAAACGGATAGATGGGAGAGAAATACAAAGTTATAACAATCATGCATAAGAAAGTTTAGAAAAGTCTCAGTTACTTTCAAATATACTGATCATAAATCCACAATTCATCGGATCCCAACAAAAACACCGCAAAAGAAGATTACATCGAATATAACCCTAAGAAGATCGAGGAGAACATTGTATTGAGGATTTAAGAAATAGAACAAGTCATCTAGCTACTAGATATGCACCGATAGGTCTGTGGTCAACTACTCACACATCATCGGTAGGCAGCAAGGATGATGTAGAAGCCGTTCATGATCGATTCCCCCTCTGGCAGAGTACCGGAAAATGCCTCCAGATGGGATCGCGGAAGAACGGAAGCTTGCGGCGGCAGAAAAAGTGTTTCAAGTGGCTCTCTTGGGGTTTCCTAATATTTGAGAATATATAGATGTGGAATTAGGTCATACAGATGAACGTGGGGCCCACAAGGTAACAGGGCACCCCCTGGGCGTGCCTGGTTGCCTTGTCGTCTCCTTGTTTGTCCTCTGGACTCCTCCCAAATCTTTTAGGGCATCTTATGTCCGGAAAAAAAATGTCAAAATATTTCGTAGCATTGGGACTCCATTTGGTACTAATTTTCTGGAAAACCAAAAACAAACAGAAAATAGCAACTGCCACTAGAGAGTAGGTTAATAGGTTAGTCCCCAAAGATGATATAAAACAACATAAAAATGGATATAAAGTATCCAAGATTGATAATATAACAACATGAAACAATAAATATGATATAGTGTATACACGTAAAAAGAATAATATGGAAATATAAAATCAAATGCTTTATCCCCTTATGATGTTGGAACATAAGGTCCATATAAGCTAGAGACAAGGAAGGCTTTTTTCCCGTTGCAAGGCACATACATGTTTGCTATACTAGTGAAAGCATACAAAGCAAAATAAACCATATCTCCCGCGATCATTCACCTCCGTTGTGCTCCTCCCATAAAAACGTATCCCATGCAATGAATGAACGGGTGCACCAGATGCACCAATGACTTATGTATTGTTTGATTGAAAAGGGAGGGACAAGATCTAGGTATGGGTAGGGCTGCTGGCACACTTGTAAAATGAACCCTTTGTTGCCCCTCAATTGAACAAACTGAGTGCTTTGATCTTCACCCTGGGGTCAAAACTCAAGCATCTCTCTTCGCCACCTTGAGAGGTAGGGTTACCAAATTTCAGCCCGACCACCTCTCTCCCTCTTCTATACATCTCGAGCTCTCTGTCCCCCCTCCTTCCCTCCCGTATCAAAGCCAGTGATCGCCAATGTTGAAGCTCTAGCAGCCCCCAAGTCCGATGAGGCCATGCGTGTTGAATTCATCCTTGGTGGCAGGGAGCTCATTGCATATGCGTCAATGCAGCAACGTTGCAGTTTAACCTCTGGGACCTTGATAGTACCGCTGCATAGGAGTGAGACATCTGCTGCAGCTCAAGATCGAACATATTTTGTCTTCTTCCTTTGTCCATAAGTCTAGTCGTCAAGCTCATCTCTAGATTTTATTCTCTTATTTTCCCTTCGTTTGGAACATGTGACCGGGAAATAGCTATCATCACTGCCCTTTCTGAATAAAAATCATGTGTAAGTAATGCTC